ACCCCTCCTGCCTCCCCCAGGTCCCCAGCGCGGCCCGCCGCTGGCCCCTGCGGAGAGCGCGCCGCGCTGCCATGAAGGCTGTCGTCAGCAGGCGGCGCCTGACACTGAGCCGGTGGTCGCGGAAGATGGCCCGGGGGCGGGGGCTCCCTGCTGTGGGCTCCTGCCTCGCCCTCGCGATCGCCGCCTGTAGCTGCGTCTCGTCCCTCTTGTTCATCTGCCTGTCGATCCAGCCGTGCTCGGCGACTGCCAGCGCCTTGCTCGCCATCGTCGCCTCCTTCATCCTTCTGCAGGCCGGCAGGCGCGCGCTCTTTTCGAGCATCACCTCCGCAGCCTCGTCACCTCCTCCCTGGTATACTTCCTTCCTCTTCCTCCTTGGCGGCCGGCCCCCTTGCAGGGGCCCGCCCCGAGGATCTCTGGAGCGTCCGTCACCTTGGTGTCTGGCGCGCCTGCTCTGAGCAGCTGCTTCCTGCCCGCGGCGCCCGGCGGGCGTGCTGGGACTTCGCCTCGTTCTCCTTGAGGCCCAAGACGAGCGACCACCTCTTCCGCTCCTCACCAACTGCCAGCAACTCCTGCGCAGTGCTGGACTTCCACGACCTGTCGTCCACGAAGCAGGAGAGCTCCGTCCCAGGGAGGCGCGCCACGATGGCGGTGATCGGTTGCTGTAGGACCGCCACCATAGCTATCATGGACCACGGGTCGCCCTGGGGCAGCGAGGTGCCCACCTCCTCTGGCCGCCTGGGTGTGACTCCTTGGCGCTGCAAGTACCGGAGCTGTCCGGTCCACACCTGTTCCAGGATAGCGGCGACCGCGCGCGGGCACCCGAGCTTCCTCAACGCCGCAACTGCCAGCTTGGGGTCGGTCTGGTCGAAAGCCAACGTGTAGTCATAGGACGCGATGAAATCACCCTGGTGGTACGAGTCGATGAGGCGCATGAGCGGCATGTACACCTCTCCCGCCTTGCGTCCTCCAACTGCCTCCTCCCTCCACCACTTCTTCTGCCGCGTTTGGGCGTCGGGGGGCCTCAGCAGCGCGCTGCCGAACAGGCGCCACCAGCAGGTCAAGATGGTGATGGGTCGCAGCGCCTGCACAGCAATGCTCCCGTCCTTATTTATCCTTCCTTTGCCCTCCTTCGGGAGCATTATTCGCGGTGCCTTGCGCCGCTCTGTGGGCACGCAGCCCTGGCCCAGCATAAAATTGAAGACGTCAGTAAGGTGGTGGACCACCGCAGGGCAGTAGAGCGAAGCGAGCTGATCTCCGTGCCAGCCGTCAGCTCCTGGAACGGATCCCCGTAGCTTGCCCATGGCGCCCCGCAGCTCCATGGGACACGCGGGTCGCCAGATCTCCTCCGACGTAGGCGGCGGCGCGTCTTCACCCGTTGCTGCCATTCCTCCTGCGGCGCAAACTCGCGCCCCCAGACTTTCCTCCAGTGCCGCGCCAGCAGTGCAAGCGCTTCCTGCTCCGTGGCGCTTTCTTCCCTGGCCTCGTCGCGTCCTCCTCGCTCCTCGTCCTCCCTTCCTGCTCCTCGCCCTTGGGCTCCCCCCCCTTCCCCTCCGCGTGCACGCCCGTCGGTGGAATCGTGCGGCCGCCTTCCACCCAGGCGCAGCGTGCCCGGAACGACCCTCGCAGACGGTTACGCCACCTGTCGATGCGGCCCTGCCTCCGCTGCTTCCGGAGCTCCGCCAACTTCGCCTCGACCTCCTTCAACGTCACCAGCCGATGCTTCGTCAGCCCTTCGCGGGTTCTCTCTTCGAGCATTCGCCCCTCGGCGCTCTCCTCGCGGCCTTTCCTCCGCAGCCACTGCATGTGCCGCATCTGCCCCCGCAGGTTACCAAGCTGCTGGATGTGCGCCGACGTGTGCGGGTCGTCACATTCACCGAACCGGTGCTCCTGGTACCGAAACGTCTGCGTGTTCTTCCTGATGTTCCATTCTCGGATGCTTCCCGCCTCCTCTCGTGCCTCCTCCATTGCCCTCATCATCGTGCTCCTGAAGAACTGCTCGAGGTAGAAAGACATCTCCTTCCACACGTCGTCCACCTGTTTCTGCATGGCGTCCACGTCCCGGGGCTCCTCCATAGCTGGGAGGCTCGGCGGAGCCATGGTCGCATAGACCTCCCGCTGCAGCTGACACCATCGCTCTGGTTCCACGTGTCCCGGGCAGCCCAATGTGGCCGACCTGCCCAGAATACAATTCGGCTCGCGCACGCCCCTGTCGCCCCGGACCACCTGCAGCTGGGCAGCGACAGCCCGGTGATCCTTGAACGAGATCTCCTCCAACGCCGGCTGGTCACAGCACGTCGGGTGCGAGGCTATGTAATAGTCGATGCACCTGCGCCCCTCCCAGCGCGTCGGAACGCAGCCCCCTCTGTCATCCAGCGCCGTCCAGAGACACGCTCCTTCTTCCCGGAGCAGATCCCATAGCAGATTCTCCCCGGGCTCGTCGTTGAAGTCGCCCGCAATGCACCAGGTGTGCTTACGGCTCAGCGTCTCCAGCAACCCCAACACGAACGACATTAATAGCCTCGTCCCTGGCCTTGCCGGGAGGCTGGTAGAGGTTGACCGTGATCAGGTCCTCGACCCGCACCGCCACCGCTTGCGCGTCCTCGCCCACCAGGGGGTCCAGCTGCCGGGAGCGAGCATCGCCGCCAACATCTCGCTGAGCTGAGCCTGCGACGGCTGCCACTGCCCGCACTCCTCGCAAATGAGACTGGGCTCCATAGCCGCCACCGACATCTCGCTAAGCAGTTCCTGGGCCGGCTGCTACTGCCTGCCCTTCTTACACGTGAGGTTGGGCTCCAACGTCGCCGCCAACTGAGCTGTGCCTGGGTCGGCTGCCTCTGCCCGCCTTTATCGCAAGTGAGGCTGGGCTCCATTGCCGCCGCCGACATCTCGCCGAGCAGTGCCTGGGCCAACTGCCACTGCCCGCCCTTCTCGCACGTGAGGTTGGGCTCCAACATCGCCGCCAACATTTCGCTGAGTTGTGCCTGGGCCGGCTGCCACTGCCCGCCCTTCTCGCAAGTGAGGCTGGGCTCCAGTGCCGTCGCCGACATCTCGCTGAGCAGTGCCTGGGCCGGCTGCCACTGCTCGCCCTTCTTGCGCGTGAGGTTGGGGTCCAGCATCGCTCCCCGCATCTCGCTGAGCAGCCACTGGGCCGGCTGCAACTGCCGTCCCTCCCACTGTGCTGCCACTGCCGTCCCTCCCCACTCCCGATCCCGCTCCTCCCATTGTGCCGCCACTGCCGTGCCTCCCCGCTCCTCGCCCTTCCGCTCCTCCCAACTCCTGATGCCCAACCACGCTGCCACTGCCGTCCCTCCCCGTCATCCCGTCACCCTCAACGCCGCCAGTGCCGTCCCTCCTCGCTCCTCCAGCCGTGCTGCAACTGCCGCCCCGACCCGCTTCCACCGCGCCAGGCCTCAGCTGCTTCGCCCTCGTGCTCCGCGGAGGTGCCGGGGCCGCCGGAGGAAGGGGGTGCAGCTGGAGCTGGTATTGATGCTGCTGGAGTCGCAGTGGTGCTGCTGGAGTCAGGCCCTGGTTGGTCGCGGTGTCGCTGGAGTTGTTGGTGTCGGTCAGGTGTAGCTGGAGTCGACCGCGGTGCAGCTGGGGTTGGTGTGGATGCTGCTGGAGTCGTACTGGTGCTGTTGGAGTCGGTCGCTGGTTGGTCGTGGTGCTGCTGGAGCTGGTGGCGGTGCTGTTGGTGTCGGTCAGGTGATGCTGGAGTCGGTCGTGGCGCAGCTGGTGATGGCGTCGATGCTGCTGGAGACACACTGGCGTTGCTGGAGTCGGTCGCTGGTTGGTCGTGGTGCTGCTGGAGCTGGTCGTGGTGCTGTTGGTGTCGGTCAGGGGCTGCTGGAGTCGGTCGTGGTGCAGCTGGGGTTGGTGCTGCTGCTGCTGGGGTCACACTGGTGCTACTAGAGTGGGTCGCTGGTTGGTCGCGGTGCTGCTGGAGTTGGTGGCAGTGCTGCTGGTGTCGGTCAGGTGCGGCTGGGATCGGTCGTGGTGCAGCTGGGGTTGGTGTGGATCTGCTGGAGTCGCGAAGCGTCAAGAATCTAAACTCGGTTTCCCATGGAAGACCTCAGGGAAACCTGAGGCAAACCATAAAACGATCCAGGAACAACCTGGCCCCTCCCCCACGGGAAGGGCTCCTTCTGCGGCGCCCCGACTGTATGCAGGGTGTGCGAGGCGGGTCGGGGACCCTGTGCATGCAACAGCCCCCCACCCGTCGGGTGCTCGCTGGCGTGGGCCCGTGAATCTTGCACGTGGGCGCCCCGGTAACAGATCGGGGAGAGCGCCCCCCGAAGCGGGGCGCCAACGCCGCCCGGCGTGGCGACGGAGCGCGCGGCCTCTGCACAGCAGCGGGGGCCGTCGCCAATCCACGCGCCAACATCCATATTGGCGCTTCGTCGGCAGACGGTCTGGGACCCCCCCCCCCTTCCTCCAGCCCTGAGATCCGACGAAGCGAGAGAATCGCAACACCGCCAACAATCACGAACGGAGCCCTGGGAGCCAAATCTTTCTGCTGCATGTCTTGGGCTTGGATGGATCTGTGGTCCCGGGGTCCGACACAGGGCACACACACACGCACTGTGTAACAAAGAAGCCAATTAGGTGGCTAGACATGGGAGCTTCACGTAGCCGCACGGGCGCCCAGTGAATGATTAATGAGACTTGGTGCCCACGCTAATGCCCACTTGCGACCCCACCAACATCCCACCTACCCCCACTAACTATACCCCACCGAACCCCACCGGGGCACCCACTGAATCCCACCAACCCCCACGACACGTACACCACTGCATCCCGCTCGGGCACCCACTGGGCCCCACTGGATCAAATCAATCCTTTCTTCCAGAAACTCGTCGGGTCGAACATGGGCCCCCTGACCTTGACGCCCACTCCTCCGGGGAGGGAGGCCTCCACGAGCTCGGAGGCATGGCGGCCCGTGCCGTCAGACCTCGGAGGCCCGAGCCCCTGGGCGGCGCCGGCGCGGGGGGGGTGCGGGGCACTCGGCCGTCTGCTGCGGCATCGCCAGGTAGCCGGAGGCCAGGCCGGGGCCGCTGACGGTGATCTGCGGGGGCAACGGCAGCCAACGCCGGATCGCAGAATCGAATCGGATCGGAGCAGGCATCGGATATCTGGCATCGGCACGGGAGCGACATCAGATCGAATCGACCGCGCCAAGATTCACAACAACGGCATGCAGATATGTAGCTGTATCGGAAGGTCGGAAACTTGGAGTCGATTCGGATCGAACTGGCTGGAACCGATATCGAATCGGATCTATCGGAGGACCCCCGGGGTCGCGAAAGAACGACGGCGGGCGGCTTGTTGGAGAGGGCATGGACGACACAATAGAAAACACGTCAGCGAATCATCATTAGATGTTGGCATTCCTTGTCAAGGGCTACTTTCACCATGTTACACCAACCACATCGGGTGGTGCACAGATGATGGTAGAGGGAAGACATGTTTTCCTACGTCAGAAAGAATAGCCAGCCATCCGCGTACACATCTTGGTGGATAAGCGGCGCGCGCACATAGTCACAGCTGAACGGGCTCCACCTAAGATTGCGCGTGAGGGACATTGACAAATGAGCACCTGCGCTGTGGTGCACGCACCTGGCTGGAACCGCGGTGAGCCGTCGTCGCCCTCCCCACCCAGGTCGTCGTCCACGCCCACCGTGGTGGCGGTCGTCGTCATCGTCGTCGTCGTCGTCGTCGTTGCCGCGCTTGGGGAACAACAAGGTACCGACGCCACTGCTCCTTGGACCTCTCGCCTGCCGCGTTCTGACCAGAATTCAGGGCCGAATCTGGCCGTAGTGACGAAGGCCCTCCATGATGAGCAACAGTGTTGAAGGGGCCCTGAGACACACAAATAAATAGACACGAATCCCAGGATTCCCAATCTTTTCCGATATCTTCTGGGTTTTCGTCTTCCCCGCACCCCGCTTCTTACAGTTTCCCTCCTTTTCCTGTGGGTCGACGATTCATTGTGTATGATTTTGTTCCCCTCCTGGGGTGTATCTCCCAGAACTCCCATTGAGCAATTTGCTCAAAGCGTCGGCCCTCAGAGTTCTGACCCCTCCCCCCGGGGCAGGTTCTTCATCTAAGGCGGGTGTTTGGCCGCTCTCTTGCCCCGTGCGGCCCCCCCAGGGGGCCGAGAGCAGCCAAACACCCTGCGTCGAGCTTCTTTTTGTACGACGCAGGCACGTGTGGGTCTTCCTCCCCTGAGTCGTGGTGGTGGTGGTGGTGGTCGTCGTAGACGTAGTCGCCCTCGTCGTCGCTCCTCTTCTTCCTCGTCGCCCTGGTCGCCGTCGCCGTCGTCGCCTGCCCTCGTCGTCGTGGTCGTCGTCGTCGTCGTCGCCCGCCCTCGTCGTCGTGGTCGCTCGGCCGTCGTCGCCGTCGCTCGGCCGCCCTGCCGCCCACCCGTCGGGCGCGCACGCCTCGCCGATGGCCCCGGAGGGCAGCGCCCGGCCGCCCCGGTCGAGGACGGCGAGGCGCTGGCCTCCCACTCGCCACACAGCTGCGACCCGGACGACGACGACGACGACGACGGCGGCGACGACGACGACGACGACGGCGACCCGGACGACGACAACGACGACTACGACGACGACGACGACGACGACGACGACGATGCGGACGACGACGTCGACGACGACGACGACGACGACGAGGGAGGGCAACGACGATGACGACGGCGAGAACGGGCGACGTCGACGACGAGGCCGGCGACGAAGCAGAGGACAGCGACGACGAGGGCGACTACGACGACGACGACGACGGGGCAGACAACGGCCCTCCTCCTCCTCCTCCTGGCATGCCGGCTCCGAGGGCCCACCACGGGCGGGGCTCGGGCGCCCCGGAACGCCTGGCGGAGCACGGCTCTGGGCACGCCTCCCCGGGACTGGGCGCCCGCTCCCCTGCTGCGGGCTCCTCCGGCCCTCCCGCGGCCCCAAGGACCGGGGGCGCGCAAACGTGGATCAGCGATCCATGGATTTGGCGCGCGGTCGCCAGATCCATGGATCGGGGGAGTTGCCCTCCCCAAAATGCGGCCGGAACCGCCTCGCTGGGCGTCGGAAATCCGCGATGTCCCATGGAATCGGGACCCGTCGCTAATCCGCGCCCCCTTGATCCATGTTTGCGATCCGCCACCTCCGAGCTCTGGCGGCTCGGCGGCGGCGGCGCGGAGCAGCAAGGCCGCGCCCTGGCAGCCCGGCGGCGGCGGTCAGCAGCTTGCCCTTGCGATGATTATGCGTCCTCCTCCATCCCCTCCACCATCCCTCCTCCCCTCCTCCTCCAACCCTTGCCCTTGCGCGAGTTATGGGCAACTCCTCCCTGTCCCACCCCCAGACTTGCCTTCTGGATGCCACGACAACGGACACCCTAACAGTCCCATCATTGAATTTAAACTGTGTTTAGAATGTCGGAAAATGTTCTCAACTTGTTTTTTGTTCAACCATATTTTTTTACAGGTTTAAGGCATGTTTAACACATGTTGACACCTGGAAATTATTTGGCAGCCTGCTTTCTCTCCATTGACCGTCCTCCACACGACTTGCCAATCTGGGCAAGCCGTGCGCTTCGCCCGAGACTCCCCACCAGCTATTAGGTGGTCCCCAAACGTGGTGGTGAGAACACCCGGTGGTGAGTTTTGGGCGATTTGGGTAATGGTTTTCGAGCGCTGGCTGGCCCAGGAAACGCAAAACTTCGTGGCGACCGCGTGTCCCCAAACCCGGTGGTGACCCAGAACTATTTTTTGGGGGAATCGGGGTCACCACTGGGTGTCTCACCACCTGGTTTGGAGACCACCAAGCTATGCTCTCGAAGCTCGAGAAGCTTGTCGCGACCTCACGGCCGGAAGGGCGGGCCGTTCTCGGACTGCGGCTCTCGCCCCCGAGCGCGGCGCACATCCGCCCTAAGGACAGCAGCAAGTTCTCACAGGCGTCGGGCCAGTGGTCTTCAAGACGTGGTGGTCGCCTTGGCGCCGCGCGCACTCGTGTTCAAAGTTTGCTGCAGCAGCTTCAAGGATGGAGGGCGGTTCCTCGTCAAGAGGTGGCTCTCGCCCCAAATGCCGCGACCATTCCTTTTCAAGTTTGGCGCCCATGTCAAGGATCCACACGGCTCAAGTCCTAGGAACGGTGTTCTGGCACGACCTGGGATTTTGTCTCCCCTCCTCTTCCTCCTCCTCCTCCTCCTCCTCCTCCTCCTCCTCCTCCTCCTCCTTTGGCTCAAACTTGCCTCCTCGGTCAGGTCCGAGGAGCTGGGGCCCAAACCTTGCATTTTTCCCGCGCCGAGAGCGCGCTCTTCCAAACCAGCAACGTAGTTTGGAAACCCACGCAGTCAGCCATGGGCGGAGCTCGGCAAGCCAGCGCCAGCCGAGGCCGTGGCGGAGGGCGTCAGTACCTCTGCTGCCAGACGAGTGGCTGCAAGGGATGGACATGGGCTGACAAGCCGTTCAAGTATTGCGGTCAGTGTGGCGCAGCCTTCATCGGTCGGAAGACAGGTCAGCCAGCTTCGGCCCCCCAGCCACAGACTGCAGCAGGCGGCACTCCCAACAGGCGGCGCAGGCGCTCGACCAGCCCAGCGCCGAAGGGCCACCTCAAAGGAGCTGCAGCTGTACGTGAACCCGATGAGCCAGATCGTGACCCAGTTGCTGATTGTTCGGCAGCGGTTCAGTTCTGGAAGAAAATGGAAGGCATCAAAGGGAGTCACTACCTGCAGGCCGTGGAGGAGTTAAAGCAGTGAAAGCAGCGACATTGGCAGCCAAACCTTGGGACCAGCAGCGGAAGTCGCTGCACAACCAGCTCGAAGTCGCCAAGAAGAAGCTGCTTAGCGCTCAACAAGATTGTGACAAAACGTGCGAGGCCATGGCCTTCCTGGCCAATGACTCCACCAAGCAGTGCAAGCTCGTCGCCGACCTGACAGCGGAGACGCAGCAGCTGGAGACCCAGCACAAGATGGCAGTGGAGCAGGCGCTGAAGGAGCACATCAGCTCCTCGGCCCCCTCGCTGGAGACGTACATCACCAGCCAGTTCCCGCCAGTGCTTGCGCCGTCCGCCGAGGCGAAGCAGGCCGTCATGCAGTTGTCGGCGAAGCTGCACGACGAGTGGCAGGCAGCCCAGGCAGCCCAGGCCAGCGCCCAGCAGGCCCAGACGGCGCCCCAGGTGGCGGCGGCGTCCCAGACGGGCGCCGAGGCTGTGCCCACAGGCCCAGCCGCTGCCGCTGCCGACCCGATGGCGCCGTCGCCGGCTGCGGATGGAACGGGCCAGCCGCCCCAGGCCGCCGCCGCCGCCCCCTCGGGCGACGTCAGCCCCGAGCAGGCTGCGGCCCTGGACGTCGAAGCCGAGGCCATGCAACAGGATCAAGATGAAGCAGACAGGGGTGCCCAGGGCATGAAGCGCGCAGGCGATGCGATCGGCCGGGTGCTGAACATCAACGAACAGAACACGGCGCTCACGCCCCGGCAGCAGATGGCCAACGAGGCGCTCCAGTCCAGCGCGAAGGCCCTCTGCCTGGCCAGAAAGGGCAAGGGCGGCAAGGGGGCGGACGGAAATCCGTGTGGGTAACACGGTCAGGTTCGCCACTATCAATGGAAGCTGCTGGAGATCCATTCGGAAGTTTCTGAAGTCGAAAGCAGCCGAGACGGCGGATATCATCTGCTGTCAAGAAGTTCGGGTTTTGAAAGATGCGCTCCCTTTCATTGTACAATGGTGTGAGCGCGATGGGTGGAATGCGATGCTCTCTCCAGCCGTGCTCAGCGATAAAGGGTACCCAGTCCAAGGGACAGGGATTTTGATTCGTGACGGGCGTGACTTGGAATATCTCGTGCGCCAGTTCCTGCAGGGGTAGCAGAGTCACGGTGCGCAGCAGTTTCACTTGAGCTTCCTGGACATCGTCCATTCGCACTCGTATCACTCTACTTGGCCGACGGGGTGGGCCTTGACAAGTATAACTCAGAGCTCTCTTAGCCGGGGTCGCAATGATTCAGGACGCTGTGCGACAGCCACTCATCATTGATGGGGATGTCAATGTTTCGACGAGAAAGCTTATCGAGTCGAACTACCCGCTGAGAGCAGGCCTCAAGATCTTGGCCCCGACCAAACCGACATGTAAGATGAAGAAGTCTGAGTCCATCATCGACTTCGTTCTCGCCTCGTCGCGCTTCGACCAGGACCTCTCAGGGGCCACTGTTCTGGACGAGTACCCCTTGAGCCCGCATAGGCCCGTGCTGTTCCAGCTGCGCTGCGGGAAGCCCTTCATGGTGCCCGTCTTGGAGAAGCCCCAACCTTTCTCTACTTCCAGGCCCTACGGGCCGACAAACTATGTGCCGTCTTGGGGCCGTGCGGAAGCCGCCTTGGATTTCCTGGACCAGGTCATTGATGGAAAGTCTGGGATAGAGGCCCGCTTGCTGGCCCTCAATTCGGCGCACCAGTACTTCGCCTCGGACATGGCGAAGTCGATCAGCATCCGCACTGACACTCCGATTAAGTCGCCCACTGCCCCGCGAGTAGGTCTTCCAAAGATCCGCTGGGCACCGGGAGCCGCCCGGGAGGTGGAACCCAGGGCCAGTTGGAGGAGTCTATCAATTCCGATTCGGTGGTTGAAAAACAAAGTTATGGATGTCATCCGACGGGTTTATTCCAAAGAGGAGTTTTACCTTTCGGAGATTCTGACCAGCATCTAGTCACCACCCCCAGAGCTCGAAGGTGCCGAGGAGTTTGCCCGTTTGCTCGCCAGCGTTAGGACTGCTCTAGGCGCTGCTGCCCAGGACCAGGACAATGGCCAGATGGATCCCAAGCTCGTGTTGAAGGTATTTGAAGAGCTCGATGATGCATTTGATCACGCGCTCCAAGCTGAGGAGGCCAAGGACCGCCAAAGTGTAACGACGTCTTGGAACAATTGGGTATAGGAGGCCATGTCTCGGGGAGTCGGTTGGGCCCATCGTTGGACCTCGAAGCTCATCAGAAAGTTTGGCGCCCCGAGATGCAGACACTTCCAGGCCGGCCTTTTGAGCTGCTTCAGTCCGAGGCAGCCCGTCTCGCAGGATTGTGGCAGGCCGCGCCGCAGGAGCAGGAGTTTAACTTGCCGTCGGCCCAGCGTGACCGCCTGGAGCCCATCGCGCCTGGCCAGATCAGATCGGCTGCCAAAAGATTTCCAAAATCTACCAGTCAGACTTGGGATGGGTTTCACCCTCGTCACTTTGCTTATCTCAGTAATGTTGAACTTGAACAGGTGTGTGAGCTTTTGGCAGCGATCGAGGAGATTGGAGTATTTCCGACAGCCATTCGTGGCATCATTATCACGTTGATTGAGAAGCACAAGCCTGACCAGTCTGAGGGCCCCTCGTACCGTGGCATCGGTTTGCCCCCTGCCCTCTGGAGGGCGCGGTCCAAAATTCGCCAGGAGGAAGCTCGTCGGCGGGAAATGGCCAACAAGAGGCCTTATCTTGCTCATCAGTCTGGTCGCGGTGTGCTTGAAACTGTTTATGCTCAGGCCTTGAAGGCCGAACTAGCTGGCCATCAAGCTGTTCGCACCGGTGGGGTTTTATGGGATTTATCTAACTCCTGTGAGAATGTCAATCGTAAGAAATGGAAATATCGGGCGATCTCTTCTGGATTTTCGGAGACGCTCACGTGCATTATGATGAATCAGTATGGGGGCCGCAGGGCTGTCGCAACCAAAACTTTGGCTATCTACGCTGGGTGTGCTACCAAAGGCTTCCCTGCTGGCTGCTCGTCTGCGACGTACAACGTCCAAATGTATACGATGCCCCCCATGGACTCCTGGGTTCCGAAGTTCCCCACCGTGGACCCCTCCATCTTCATAGATGATTTCATGTTGACAAGCAACAATACAAGCGTTCGCCTGTTGGTGTCGGACCTGGCGCAGGCCTCCGACAGCATGCTAGATTTAATCGAGGAGGACCTCGACTGCTCGGTCGCCTTGCACAAGGCGGCGGCGCTGGGCTCGTCTGCTAGAGTTCAGCAACGCCTGGCCAAACTCTCGGCAAGTACAGTGGGCCAGAGGCAGTCAACCAAGCACAGTCTGCGCCAAACCTCGGAGTCGATTTCACCATGGGCAACAGGGTCTCGAAGAAGGCCAGAAAAACTCTGGCGAAGCGAACCTCCAAGATGGAGCGTCGACTCCACCGTCTGGTCCAGATTAGGCGAGCAGGTGCAAATATGCGTAAGGTTTGTCAGACAGGTTTGGAAGCAGCCGCCTACTACGGCGCCGAGGTCGTCGGCCTCACCAACCCAGAGTTGCACGAAGCCCAATCCCTCTACCTCAAGATTGTAGGGCCCCGTTGTGCTACAAGATCCAGGTCCCTGGCATTATCGATCTTGGGGGATCCGACTTGGAGTGCTGCTCTTGGGCCGGCCTGTTATTGGGCCATCAAGATCTGGAGAATTGCTCATTATCCTGGTACGATCGGCTTTTCTCTGGTGGGTCTCCGAGAACAAGCCCTTCAGGTCCTCCACAAGCCCCCGAAGAAATGGTACCAGATCCGAGGGCCCTTAGGGGCCACGCTGCTCAGCTTGAGTCGTCTGGGGTGGTCCATGCCCGACCCGCTCGTCTTTCGGGACTCGCAAGGCCAGGACTACCCTCTCATCACCACCTCCCCAGCCCTCATCAAGAAGTTGTGTCAGTCTCAGTGGCAGTTGCAGTTGTACGTGAAAGCGGGGCAGAAACTCGGTTTCGACGAGCCGCTCGACCGGTCGGTCATGCAGCACGCGCTGCAGGATAGCACAGCGCAGGCCCGCAAAAGGAAGACGCTGCACTCATATGGTTGCCAGTGTATTTGGTCTAGAGAAAAGATGGCCGCGGCAGGCTATCAGAACGAAGTCGAATGCGAGTTGCGCAAGGGCCCCGTGGACTCCATCCCCCACAGGCTCCTCGAGTGCCCGCAGACCCACAACTTGAGAGTGGAGATGTTAAAGAAAGGAGATATCGAGGAATTCAAAGACCCGAGGAGAGGATTTCCATATGTGTTAGGATTTCAACTTCGACCTGAACCCATAGCTCTGAGGCCCCCTGGTTTAGGATTAGATCAGGCTGTAGATTGGTCTCGTGATGGGCTGCCCAAAGAGGTGGCCATGCAAGGAGACGTTTTCCAAGGCGGCAGTGTTTTGAAACCTGGGCCCGCGGTTTACGACGCCCCCGCCTGGTCCGTGGTCAAAATCGACGAGGACGGCGACTTGGTTGCCAATCTCTCGGGCCCCGTGGGGGCCAGTCTTCCCCCCGCGTCGCCTGCTGCCGAACACTTGGGTTTTTTAGCTGCCGCTTCCTGCCCCAGAGTCACCAAAGCGTGGACGGATTTCAAGGGTATCCTTTCGGTGCATCAGAGCGCCGAAGTTTCACGAAAGGAAATGTATTCGGGCGTTTCGGTTCTGGCCAGGACCCAGGGCTGTTTTGCGTCCCTCGAGATCGGGAAAGTCAAGGCCCACCAGGATCTGTCGACCCTGGAGGCTGGCTCGAGGGACTGGTTTGTTGCTAAAGGGAACGACTGGGCGGACAAGGTGGCCAAACAAGCTGCCGCCAGAATCCCCGCCCCGTCCCAAATTGAAATCGATGTTTATAAAGAATGCCGTAGTCGTGTTCAGAGGCTTGTGAAGTATGCTGCAGAGGCGCTCTCCCTGTGGGCCCCTCTCGCCCCGAAGACGGGCAAAAAGGCCTTCGAGAAGCCCTCCAAGAGCCTCGGCCCCCCTGTTGGGGCAGCGGGCGCAGTCGGCCAGTGGACTGCACCACCCCCGCCCCCTGTGGGTCAGCCTCGGCGTGCTCGAGCGTGCCGTACCCCCCAGGGCGTGGTCAGGCATCATTGGGCATGGCTAAATAACCATTGGCTGCGCCTAGCGTGTCACACCCGCGCCCGCACTGACAGTACCCGTAAGGCTCGCATGCGAGAAGCATGCCCTGGTTGGTAATTCAGCCATGTTGTCTAAGCTAATTCGGGAACCCCACAAGCACCATTTAATGACATGTGATTACCTTGATGTCGAGTCCTTCCTAGTCATTTGTAAGAGGTGCGGCCGTTATACGGAAAGCAACCTCAAAGGACTCAAAGGTGAATGCAAGGAGCGCTTCCGAAGTAAGTTCTCCCAAGGTGCTTGGTCCCTCCTGGCAGGCGGCCGTCATCCCAAGAGCAGTATGAAGGCCCGCCCCCGACTTTCCTTGCCAACTCCTGCGGCCCAGCTCCTCAAGGAAGGAGGGGCGACGCGGGTCGAATAAGTGCGTAAGTGGAGAGCGGATGTAACTCGAGTTATCCTGGTTGCAGCAGCGGCTCCTAGCCGCCCCTTGGTTATCACTACGTATAGCCGCCCAGACAAGGATAACTCATTCAATCAGATGCGGTGATCCTCCTCCTCCTCCTCCTCCTCCTCCTCCTCCTCCTCCTCCCTCCTCCTCCTCTCCTCCTCCTCCTCCTCCTCCTCCCTCCTCCTCCTCCCCTCCTCCTCCTCCTCCTCCCCTCCCTCCCTCCTCCTCCTCCTCCCCTCCTCCTCCTCCTCCTCCTCCTCCTCCTCCTGCTTCTCCTCCTGCTTCTCCTCCTCCTCCTCCTCCTCCTCCTCCTCATCCTCCTCATCCTTCTTCTCCTCTTCCCCTTCCCATCCAGTGTGCGGCCGCCCAGCCGTCATGCCGCCCTTTCCATTGGCGAACTCCTCCACGTCGCTGGCCGACCGCATCTGCGCCTGGCGGAGGGACGGGGCTGAACCTGAGCGGCGTTTCTCGTTTCCGTTGTGTCTCGTTCTTCCTCGGTTCGCCTTCGCTTCGCCTCGACTTGCTGTCGCTCGGACGCCCATTGCCCGTGCATGCTTCCGGCTCCGTGCCTCTTTCCTTCTTCTGCTGCTGCTCGATGATGGCCCTCGCTGGCTCTTGCCGAGAGAAAAAAATGCACACGTCCGAGCGATGCCTAGTTGAGTGCGTTGTTCCTTTTTTGTGCGTTTTTCCTTTTTTTGTTGCTGCTCGATGGTCCAGGATGGTCCTCGCTGGCTCTTGCCGAGAGAAAAGTGCACACGTCCGAGCGGTGCCGAGTTGAGTGCGACACGCAACGAACGCACACGGAGCGGCCCACGACACGGCGAAGACACCGCTGAGGTCCCCAGCCCCGGGCAGGCGGGGCCGCGGGGCCCCGCCCCTCGAACAAAAACCTCTGGAAGCAGCTGGGGGCCGCCGACCGGCCACCGCTCGGACGTCCACTCCCTGTGCTTTTCTTCGGTCCCGCGCGTGGCGTTGTCGCCAAAGGATCAAGGCTGCTGCGAAACACTTTGCGGGACAAAAACACACACGGGAAAAAAAACACAAACACACACACAACTGTTTGCTTTTTTTCCTGCAAACTTTTCGCCAAATGATCAAGGCTGCTCCTCGATGGTCCTCGCCGAGGGAGAACTGCACACGTCCGAGCGATGCCAGGCCGGGAGAGAGGGAGGAGGGGGGGGCATCGAGGAGGGGAACCTGGGATCGGAAGCTGAGGTTTCTGGACGGCTCTGACCCCTCTCGGGGGCCTCACGAGGGCCTCCACAGCCCTCCGGAGGAGCCCCTGGAGGCGGCCGAGAGGGCGAGTGGCGGGCTGCGGGCTTTCCGACATAGTCGTTCGAGTGAAGGACACTCGTGGCTGTGCCGCTCAGTACTGCAGGAAGCATAGGCCACAAGAGTTGCAATCGACGGGCCAACACTGGAGCCTGCGGATCACGCGGATACCGCAGATGAGTCCCTCCAACCCGACGAAAATGTACGCTGTTCACTCCTTCAGCACCCAGCAAAAACAACATCCTGGAATAAAAAAACCTCATTGCACCACGCAGAACAACGCATACGAACAACACCGCGAAGTCGAGGTGATGCACCGTAGCTATCACGCAACTGCATGACAAAAACGGACGGTGATCAAGATCGGCACCGACGTTTCCGCGTCAACCGAAGAGGAGAAGGATCAAGGATTGAAGATGGAGATGATTTGGCATTTCTGGTCCTTCTCGTGGGCATTAGGAGACCTCCAGAGGCCTCTGGGGATTTCCCGCGGGAACAACCTCTGGAGGCCTCAACGGGCACCTAGAGCCCTCTGAGAGGGAACAGGAGGGGATGAGAAGGGGGGAAAAAACTGAGGGAGGAGTGTGAAGGGGGGAGGATGGGGGGGGAGTCGAGCGAGGCTATAGGGGAGAGGAAGGGATGAGGGTAGAATCGGGGCAGGGGAGGAGGGGGAAGTTGCTGAGTTTTTCGAACGTGCTCAGCAGATCTTCGGCGCTCTTCCAAAGGGATGGGGAGGGAGAGGACCGGCGAGGAGGCTTCTCCCGCCGCCCGACTCCAGTTGGGAGGGGATGGGAGGCCGGCTCCCTGACACAAACGGGGAGGGGATGGGAGAGGGGAAGGCGAAGAAAGCGAGAGCGGGGCTTCCCAGGAGGCCTCCTGCCTTCTGAGAGGTCTTACGGCCAGACCTGGGACAGGAGAGCGTCCTGCAATAACGTGGGACCCTCCGCAGGGGGGTACCCTTCCCCAGGATGCACAGAAACATCCCACAAACACGAAGAACATTAAGGGTGCCCTCGCCGAACCGACCTCGATCTTGTACCTCGGTCCGACCGTATGTGGCTTCGGAACAGGTTCCGAACGCTTCTGAAAAGGCCGGATGCCCTCTGAGCCTTCTGAGGATGCCCGCCCCCCTCTGCCTTCCCGCCTGTGCGCGCCGCCGAAGAGAAACACACAGAGTGAGAGAGAGATAGAGAGACGGAGGCAGAGACAGAGAGAACCCCTCCCACCACGCACACAACACACACACACACCACACGCACACACACCACACAACTAACACGCACGCACACACCTCACACAGACACACAGACACACACACACACCACATACATCAAAACACACACACACAAACACATACACACACCGACACACACCCACACACCTGCGCACGCACACACACATCAACGCACACAAACACACACACCAACACACCAACACAAACAGTGACACACACACACACACATACACACCAGCACACACACCACTCACACACATGCGCACCGCTCACACACACACACTATCACACACGCACAACGCTCACACACACGCCGCTCACACACACCACCGCTCACACACACCACCGCCCACACACACTAACACACACACACACACACCGACACACACACGCGCTAACACATACACGCACCGACACACAGACACACACACACACAAAAACAGACACACCGACACACACATTAAACAACAAACTGAAACAAACACACATCGATGACACACAAATTAATACACACACTAACACATACAAAAACAGGCACACACAAACGAACACGGACACACACACACACACTAACACATACACAGACCGACACACACACACACCGACACATAAACACACCGACATACACACTAACACATACATACACACGAACACACACCGGCACAAACACCGACACACACACCAACACGGACACACACCGACACACACACACACACTAGCGCATACACACACCGACAGACACGGTAACACATACACACACCGACACGCACACACACACACACTAACACATACACACACCGACACACACAGCCCGACATACACACACCGACACACACACACACCAACGCACACACGCACCGACACATACACACTGACACACAGTAACACCTACACACACTAACACACACACACTAACGCACACACGCACCGACACACATACTGACACACATACATCCACATACACTAACACATGCACGCACCGATACACACCAACACACACAACAACACGTATACACACTAACACATACACACACCGACACACACACACACACTAACACATACACACAAACACATACACACCGACAGGCACACACAATACACCCATACATACACACACTAACACACAACGACACACACACATCAACACGTACACACACACTAACACGCACACACACACACCAGCACACACAAATACATACATACACATACTAACACGCACACGCACTAACACATACACACACCGACACGCACACACACACACGAACACATACATACACACGCTAACACATACACATACGGACACATACACTAACACATACATACGCACACTAACCCACAAACACGCCGACGCACAGACACACCAATGCACACACGAACACACGCTAGCATACACGCACACCGACACACAATACCACATACACGCACCGACGCACACTAACACACACACACACACGCAACAGCACACGAATTCAAACATACACACACTAAACACACATTAGCACATACACGCACCGACACACACACACACACACACTAGCACATACACACACTAACACACATACACGCCGACTCACACACACACACACTGAGAAATACATGCGCACACACACTAACACACACGCACACACACACTATGTTTCCCCATAGTTCTATTAACGGCCGACGGCTGTCTGGAGAGGCAGGCGGCAGCCTCCCGCTCCGAGGCACGGCGCTCAGGCGCCGCCGCCGTTTTCCCGCAGCTCTCCATCTCCTCGGACTTCGCGAACTTCGCCGTGGAGCCCTTGCTCCATCCCGTACCAGCGCCAGGCAGCCAGTCCTTCTTCGTCCTGGGCGACTTGGGAGCATGCCTCGGTGCTTGTCCTGCGGGCCACCCTTCGCGCTCGCCCACCATATTGCAGCTGAGGTGCTTCTCCGCTGTGGCCCCGCAACTCCAGCAGAAGTACCCCCCCTGTGTCTCGATTAGCAGGTCGCGTGCGACTGGTGGGAGAATTTGCCCTTGAGGACAAGGGCGCGATTAGCACCTTCTTGGCGTTCAGCTTGGGCGCCTGCTTCGCCGTTGCATCTCCGGAGCCACCATCTCGACGCCCTGGGCCGCTGGTGTCTCCCAACCGACTCTCCGCATCGCGCGCGCCCCCATGTCCTCCCTTCTTGCTTCAGCAAGTGAGGGGTGTTGGCCAGCGAGCCCATGAAGGACTCGATCTCTAGCTGCGACGGCTTCCTCCTGAGTTTCGCCTCTGCCATCCCTTCCCATGCCATGGGCTTGGTCCGCTCGAGCTGCTCCACGTAGGCGTGGCCGATGCGTGTCCTGACATTGTGCGCAGCCGCCCTGGCCCAGTCGCGGCAGCCCATGTGCGCCCTCGGGATCCCATGCGTCGCCGCCGCCTCCTGCCAAGGTGTCCACCCTCTGATTGCCTCTCCACATTTCTAGCGGTACTCCTCGATTCAGAGCCTGCTCGATCGTCATGTGGCCCCCTATGTGGCGCACTGGTACCTCGGCTACTCCTCGCGCCTCCAGTCGCTGCCTGATCGTCTTCCAGAGGTCTCCGTGCGCTTTCTGGTAGCCCATGGGTATATACTTTCTGCTGTCCCAGCCCGTGAAGACCAGGTCGCCCTCCGTCGACTGCAGGCAGTCCAAGACGGCCGCAATCTCCGCCCCGTTATTGGACTGGCGAGCTCCTGGAAGCGGCCCATGCGCAATTGCCGCCTCCTGCCAGATCCCCCCGCTGTTCTGCATGATGGTCCAGCTCCAGCCGTTTCTCCTGCACCGTGCGTCGCCGCCGTGTTTACCTCCGCTTCCATCTCCACAGGCCATCACGCCTTCCGTCAAGTTCAGCTTGTCGCCGTGCTCCTCGTTAGTGATGTTGGCTGCTGAACCCGACCGTGTTGGCTGGTACTCGGTCTCGCACACTGGTGGCGTAGCCCATGATCGTGGCGTGATCCCTCTAAGCCAGAACGCCGCCCACTCGTGCTGTCCTTGTCGCGCTCGGTGAACCAGGTCCTCCGTTTTCCAGCAGACGCTGCGTTCGCTCCTGCAGCAGCATTCGCCCCAGACGATGAGGAAGTCGTCCGCAATCTCGCCGCGCTCGCACAGGTTGCAAGCGTCCTCTCCGAATGCTCCTGCGCACGCTGCCGCGAGGATCGCCCAACACATCTGGTGCTTCCCGTACTCCCTCAGGCGTTTCAGCTGCATCTTCAAGTCGTAGGTAGAACCCCCATGCTGTATGCCCGCTCCATTGTGGCGTAGGCTGGCTCGCTCCCAGCCCTTCTCCTCAGGTCAATGGTGATCGCGTCCAGCAGCTCCGCGGGGCTGTCGCTGCCTTCGTCTGGTTGTAGCTGCCATCCTCCTCCGTCGGCGTCCTCCCAGAAGTCGGCTGTCTTCGCGTCCCAGTCGATATCCCAGAGCTGCAGGATGAGCGATCCTATGATACCTCTGCGCTGCTGCCATCTCGTGGTCTTCGGTGCTGCCAGGAGTCGTTCTCGGACCTTTGGCCAAGCTCGGCGTACTCCTGCTCGAAGATCAGGACGGCTTGCCCACGGTGCGACACCCTCTAGGTCCAGCAGCGTGGCGAGGCACCTTCCTGGCCATGCCTTCGCATACCTCCCCCTGTTGGCCGTGAGCTCTGCAGGGCTTGCTCCGCGCGCCTTCGTGCCGTAGCCGGCCTGCGCCATAGGTCCTTGCTCGATGACCTGTCTCCGCGCCCTGGCTTGCATGAGCTTCTTCGCGATCGCTGCGAACCTTTTGAAGCCCCTCATCCTCCTTATGCTGTGGGTGGTTCTCCTCGTGCATGTCCTCCCTGCTCTGTCGGGTCCGAGGTCTCTTCCTTCTGTGGCGGCCTTACATGTGATTTCCATCTCCTCCAGTCTTTCGGAGGCACTCCTGGTCATACCGAAGCTCGTGCTGAATAGGACGGGCTTCCCCGCCATGGCCAGCCCCTCGCTATGTAGCTCCTTCGTCAGCTCGTAGGTTGCCTCCACGGCGCATTCCTCGACCTTGGTTCAGCTGCCCACCGCTCTCAAGCCGAAGTCGTCGAAACAAGTCCTGGGCTGCGCTGTCCTCGCGTTGCTGCTCATGGCCTTCACCGCGTGGTAGATGAGGCCAGGTTGTTTCTGTGCCTAGAGCCCGCGAGCAAGCTGCGCCTGGCGTAGATTGGCAGGCTGCAAGCGCTGCCCTCCTCCAGCATCCTCGGCGTGACGCGGGGCAACGTGGCCGTGGCCAAGCGGGGCGCCGTGCTCCAGCGCTCGCTTCGCCACCTTCTCGAACACCGAGGAGTCGCATAACCTCGTCACGTCGACCAAGGCGTTCGCCGAGTGGGCTCCAAGCTCCTGCGAGGTCTCGTCGCCCAGCGCTCTGGCCATCGCCTCTCCTAGGCAGGAGTGCCCTGCCACCGCCGCGTCGAAGTCTTCTTCCACCTCCTTGGCCCATTTCCCGATCTGGTTCCTGTAGAGCAGCTCCCACGTCCTGGCGAACCAGGAGAGCAGCGCGAGGGCTCTGCCCCCGCCTCCCGCGAGTGCCGTCTCGTCGATCCTCTCCGCGCCCTTAGGTTGCAGCATGGCCATCGCCTGCAGGGTCTGCCACGGCCACGCCACATCCTCCTCACAGCTGTTGTTCATGTCGATGTAGGCCCTCCTGCCGTTCGCAGGTAGCCTCCTCGTCTTCCATGATCATCATGTCCGTGCCTTTGCCTTTGTTGGGGGCACCATTGATCGAATCGTCGAACTCGTCAAGTGCCCAACATGGCGCGGGCTCCTCTTGCGCCCTTTCGCGCAGCATGTTGATCGCTTCCGCCGCGTCCTCGTGCTTGCTGCTGTGCTTCCACATCTCCTCGAAGTCTTCCGCCTTTAGGTCGACGCTGTCCTTCGGGTTCGTGGCATTCCGTCCTGCTTTGACGCATTCGTCCTCGCGTCTCTTCTTGGGTTTCGTGATCTTGTGCAGGGCGCCTGGCGCGCTGGCCTCCATGTTGGCTACCCGGCGCGCGTAGTCCATTGAACCTCTCCTCAGGGCGTCCTTCAATGCTATCTTCGCCTCTATCTTGGCCTGCTTGACCATGCCCTCAAGTACTTCCTCCTCCACCTTGCATATCTCCTTGATCCTTTGGCAACAGATCTTCCTGTGCAACATAGCCGTTCGCGTCGCTGTTCTGCCCGCCGACGGCGCTCCTTCCAAAGCGAGCTTCCTGCAACAATCCTCAAGCTGTCTGAGCTGGAAGTCCCCTCGCTTCTTTACCTTCAGCTTCGCGTAGGTGTCCAGTGCCTTCGCCGTCCTGCTCCACCAATGTGTTCTCTTGTTGGTATGGGATACCCTCCTTGCTCCTGACTCTCGGACCTCTTTCTCTTGAAACTCGTGCGCTTCGCCTCTGCCTCTGTGCCTCCTCTGGTCATCCTCGCTGTTTTCGTGGGCTTCGCAGTAGAAGCACTCCGTCGTGGTCACTAAGTGGTGGCAGTGGTGTCCGAGCTTGGTAGCCTCCGTCTCCGTAGCCCTGAACGCCGCCGAGTCGCTGATGTATACCGGTGCTTTCGCCCACCTCCTGGCGCGGTTCATCTCGAAATACTTGTCCCACGCGTGGTTTAGCGTGGTCGCGTCGACCTGCTGGTCCTTCAGCCCGGCGTTGGGCTTCTCCTCCTCCAACTCGCTGCCCCCTGCCTCGATGCAGTTCCAGGGGTCGCAGCCTCGCACCTGGCCAACCGCCTCGGTGTCAGAATCGTTGCCGTCTCCTGCTGCCGAGGCTGCTACAGCGTTCGTTGGGCCGCGGCAGGCTTCCCACTGCTTGGCCCCCTGATATTGCAGACCCTTCCAGTTCTGGCGGGGGGGGGGTTCTCACGGTAGAAGTTCCACTCCTCCAAGTCCTCCTCTACGATGTCTGCCTCTGGGTTGCCCATGTCGCTTGGTGCTGTTATCGTAGTATCTCTCTGGCCCCTGGTGCAGGCCACTGTCTCGTTCTCGAACTGTTTGGCGTCGATGTCACCGATCCCTGTTTTCCGTCGTCTTGGCTGGCCTCTGCCACAGGCCTCTGCTGACGATGTAGCTGGCGTCGGTGCCTCCGATTCTTGGTCTTGCGTTCGCCTCGCTCCCCTTCCTCGCAGCAGGTGATCAGGTAGGTCACCGTCAGGTAGAAGTGGGAATGACGTCCATCCAATCGGTGACAATTTCTCCCATCTTGTGCATGCATCTGGTCCTGGTCGGTGTACGTGCTCTTGCCGTAGGGGTTGGGGCGCCTGCTCTTGTCGCTCCTCTGTTTCCTGCGTTCGCTGTCGCTTATGCCTCGGCGCTTTGCTGTTTGGTTCGGTGCCTTTTCGCGTCGCGCTTCGGGTGGCAGAGCGCATTCAGCGTCTTCAGCACCTTGGCGATGTTGTACTCGAGCTGCGCCCTGATGGCGAGCTGCTGGCCGATGCGCGGCTTTTGGCTTACCTCTGAGACAGCATTGAGCATGGCGATGTGCTTGCAGGCCGATGGGCTCGCCAGTGCGAAGTCGATGAGAGACGGCTCCGCGTCTGCCGCGCAGCCGGTCGGCGCGTCGCCTGGCAGAGCGTAGACGCGCGCATCGCTTAGGAAGTCGCAGAAGCCCTCGGCCGCAAACCTGGTCGGGCTTGCGTCGAAGCCCCCCGCGATGATCCAGGGCGCGCGCGCAGACCGCGTAAACCTCGCCACCTCAGCCAGTCGCCTTGCATTGGCCCCCTCCTTCAGTGGTTGGCCGCGCCTCAGGTAGATCGAGATGGCCGCGAGACTATTGCCCTTTCAATCCCAGGTCATCGCGGTCCAACCCTCCATATGAAGTCGGCCAAAGTCTTCTGCCACCTCGGCTTGTCCTCGTCCGCCACGACTGCCGGCGACGGCCCCCGAAACGCTGCCGCGCGCCGCGTGCTCGCGGAAGAACGAGATCCTGAAGTGCGACCTCGTGGCTATCACCTCCTCTCGAGCCCCCCCTCGGACTTGACGGAAGGTTGAGATGCCGCGAAGCACGCCTCCAATCCCCACTTGTTGAGGAGCTTCCCCTTCTCCTCCAGCAGGTGGTGTCGAAGGTGGGCCCCCCTGAAGTGGGCGCGCGTCGAACCCCTGCCCACTGCGCTCGTTGCCGTTGGTCCTCAGGTGCCTATCCCGAAGCCAAGGCTCCACAGTGGGGCCCCGCGTTTTGGTGTTGCCGACGAAGGTGCTCCCGGCGCCCTGGTCGGTCTCGCAGGCGCGGGCGCCGGGTGTAGGAGTCGCTCCTGGTGGCCAGGGGCCGCCCCGCCAGTCTTGGCGAGGTTGGCCCTGGCCTGCTCGAGCACTTCCCCCCCCCGTCTCCACCTCGTCGTCGCTGTCGACCTTGACTGCGGCAGCATCTGGCGTGGGTCCCATAGCCGCCGCGCTGACTGGGCCTGGAGGTGCTCCTGCTGCCGCCGCTGCAGCTGGTGCCTCCTCCATCGGTGTCTCCACCTTTCTCTTTTTTATTTCCTGTCTGATCGCCTCCCCGTTCTTTGCCGCCGCCTCCTTCGCCGTTCGGATGTGCTCCTGCAGCTGCTGTGTGTGCGACTTAGCTCCTTCTCTTAAGTCCTGCATCGCCTTCTTCGTGGCCTCCGCGACCGCTTGGCGCGCTGCCTCGTCCATGTTGTCATCCTCCGGCTCCGGCTCGTCTTCGAGGTCGATGATCCCGTCGGGCGCCATGTCCTCGGGCGTCTGGGTGACCAACTGCATCATGAAGCGCTGCTGCTGCCCTGTATTGCCCTCCGCGTGGATCGCCTCCAAGGCGTTCTCCTTCTCGACAACGGCCGCCGCCTTCTCGCTTAGATTGGCCCCTAGCTCGCGCAGCCAAGCCCTCTGCTTCTTGACCTCCGCTGCCACCGCCAGGAAATCCTTGTTCGCAATCCTCAGCGCCTCGGCACCCTCCGCCACCCTTTCAGACTGGGTCTTCCACCTCAGGCGGCGCGGCCTGTGCGATCTGCTGCGCGAACCCCTTCATCTGGGTGCTTAGCTTCCCGCTGTTCTCCAACCTCATGGTCCCCAACTTCTCCGCTATGACGACCAGCGCCTGCGAGAGCTCTTGCTTCTCCGCCTTCTCCACCTTCTAGCCTCCACATCCGCGCTGGCGGCCGCCTGTCCAGGAATGGCTCGTCGAGGAGGAGCTCGACGCAGCTTCCGCCTGCTTGACGCCCCACGGCTTCTTGAAAGTCACCTTGCAGTGGTGGCATTGCAGGCCTGGCGTCCAGCTGGCAACCGCGATCCAGCCCTTGCATACCCACGCCGCACAGCGGGTGTAGTCCTGGTCAACCTGCCAGCCCTGCTGCTTCTTGTCCCAGGCCCGGGTCTTCTTCGCCATGCTCCCGTGGTGCGCCTCCAGCAGCTCGCGCGCCGGCGCGAGCGCGAAGAGCCTGCGGGCCGAAGATATCCGCTTTCTCAGCCTCCTGTGCCACGCGGGCGAGAAGGATCTCCCCCTCACGGGAGTGGCTCAGTGGCTCCGTCGCGCGCGCCCGCCGCGCTGGGCCGCGGGCTGCGCGCGGGGCGCCTGGCTTGAGCCCGCGCCGATCACACGCACACATACACACACACGCACCAATACATACACGCGCTAACACATACAGACACATACACTAACACAAACATGCACACACACACCGACAACCACACACGAACACCTAGATGCGCACGCTAATACAAACACTCACCCATAAAAGCACCAACACACACACTAACACATAAATACACACACTAGCACATACACACACCGACACACACATTAGCGCATACATATATACACACACTAACACATACACGCACCAACACACACACACACTGACACCTACATCCGAACACACACAGAGACACACTAACACACACACACACTAACACATACACACACTAACACATACACACACCGACACACACACACATACATACCAACACACACGCACTAGCACATCAATACACGCACACACACACTAACACATACACACACCGGCACACACACACACTAACACATTTATACTCACACACTAGATACACACCGACACGCACACTGACACATACACACACCGACATACACACTAACACATACATACACACACTAACACACGCACGCCGACACACACACACACACACTAACACATACACGCACCGACACAGACACACACCAACCCATACATACGCACCGATACACACATACACACACCGACACGCACACACACAAACACATACACACACCGACGCACAAACACACACACACACACTCTAACGCAGACATACACACACCCTGACACACACCGACACTCACACACACTGACACACACCGAGACACACTAACGCATGCATTCACACACTAACACACACACACGAACACATGCATACACACACTCACACGTAACACACCGCCACACACACACGAACACATATATACACACTAACACACACACACACCGACACACACACACACACTGACACATCAATACACATACACACTAGAACATACACACAACGACACACACACACACATCAACACGTACACACATTAACACATACACACACCGACACACACACACACTAACGCATACATGCCCACTAACACATACAAACACCGGCACACACACACACACTAACACATACACACACTAACACATACACACACCGACATATACACACACACCCTAAACCCGTCCATACACACACTGACACACACACACACAACGACACACACACACCGACACGCACACACACACTAACACATACACACATACACCGACACCCACACACACTAACACATACATTCGAACACACTAACTCATGCAAACACCGACACACACACTAACACATACACACGCACTAACATATACACACCGACACACACACTAACGCATACATACACACACTAACACATAGACACACCGACACACACACAAACACTAACACAGACATACACGCACTAGCACACACGCACACCGACACACACACACTAACATACACACACTAACACACACACACACACACCGACACACACACACAGTAATGCATACATACATACGCGCTAACACATACACACACCGACACGCACACATTAACACACACACACACACACGCATTAACACATCCACACACCGACACGCACACACACACACACACACACTTTTGAATCGGCAGCGTCAGCGATCGCAGGCGCGGGTGTCGTCTGGCGGGCAGAGGGGAACAACCAAACAAGGCTTGCGCGGTGCGCTAAATCCGGTCTCCTCATGCCCTGGGCTGCCCCCGCCAAGCCAGCTCCTCTGCCGCGCCTGGGTCACGTCGCCCTGCTCGGTGCCGCTGTAGCCCGTGGTCATGATGCAGTTCTTCACCTCGGCGGTGTGCACAGCAACGGGGGCGGGGGGGGGGCGGGGGGCAATGGGGGACAGGCTCAGGGTTCAGTCGGGCCTGTCCCTCTACAGGGGGGATATTCAGAAATAGTCAAAACATAGTCGGAGACTATTCTTTGTAGCACTTCTGGACCATTCTGAAATATTTTTGGGTTGTTATCAATTGCTCGCCTGACATCCGCCTGTAGGGGGACAGGCCCGACTTAAGCTCAGGGGCGGAAGCAC